ATATGTTAAGAACTGAAAACATGCTCAACCTCATTGTTAGATCAGTGCAAATTCAAAGCACAATAAATTACCGCTATACATGCATCAGAATGGATAAATTTAAACACTGAATGTACCTAGTGTTGGCAAATATGTGGATTTACTGGAACTCTGATACACTGATTATAGTCTTATAAAACAGTATGACATTTTATAAAATAGTTGGACATTTTTTGAAATTTCTTCATCTGTGACATATATGATCCAACCACTTTATCTTATCTGAGGGATAAAGTAAATGACTATGTAATGATTTGTAACAAATGTTCATAGCAGCATTATTTGTAATAGTTCAAACAACACAAATCTTCATCAGAGTGTTAATGGATAAATGAACACTGATATACTCTGCACATGGGTTCAACATATAAGAAATGAACTAGCTGGGTGGGGTAGAATACACCTGAAATCCCAGTGCTTGGGAGGCTGAGGCAGGAGGATCACTGTGAGTTCGAGACCAGCCTGGGCTACATAGTGAGTTGCAGGTTGGTCTCAACTACATAGTGAGACCCTATCTCAAAAAACCAAAAAAAAGAAATGAACTACTGATATATACAGCACTATGGGTAAATCACAAAGTAATTATGTGGAGTGAAAGAAAATAGACAAAAAGTGTCTACTGATTTCATATATGTATGTATATATACAAATATATATATACATACATATACATATATATGTGTGTGTATATATATATGTATATATATATACATATATATATATATATATATATCTTACAAACAAATACACAATGATAGAAACCATATCACTGATTTCCTGTGGATGGGGTGGCAGTAGGGTGGTAGAGGGAGGGTAGGGAGAACAATAGAAGGAAAGATTACAGAGGAGCATAAGGAAGCTACTGTGAATGATGGGTATGTTCATTATTTTGATTGGACAGTGGTTCCATGTGTTATAAATATATAAATCAAAATTATCAAATTTTACTTCAAATATGTACATTTATTATGTATCAGTTATACTTCAAAAATAAAATTGCATGCATTTTTGATCGTGTCAAATGTTATTACTTTACTTCAGAAATATTATTTGTAGTAGTTATATATTGATAAATTTGTTCAATATAGAGTACCCCAGATTTGTTAACAAATACAATTTAGAAGATGATAGTGATAAATAACGTCTGTCTAAAATTTATTGTCATAGAGTAATTTTTATTTCAGAAAAATTTATGTTTGATAAGCAAATGAAATTTTGACTAGAGAGTAATTTGCTAAAACAAAACAAAAAAAAAGACCTTTTCAGATGTTTTGACTTCTTTCCCACTGGAGTACACAATGTTAAATGGAATAAATTTAAACAGTATCTAAAATGATGCTAAAGTTTAAATTTGCATTCCAATTCTTAACAAGTTTATGAGCATCATGCAGACCTTTGGACACCTGGGAAGATTTATAAATAAACTTAACCCGGAAAACAAAATTATAATTTGAAACAAATGGGGCTGGGTCGTGACCAACTTACTTAGATTCAACTATTAAACACAGAGAACCATTACAATGATATTATTAGGAACTCAGTCTGCAGAAATTAATTATATTTTATTACAAGATGAGTTTTAAGTCCCAATGGGGGCAGCTAAATGGGCAAATTTATATTTAACTAATGAGGAAACTCAGGGCAGGGACTAAGCAACTTGAGTCTTTCTTATAGTCAGTTTTAAGGACACCTCATCTATCTCCTTGAGTATTCAAGGTTGTTTTTATTATGGTACGTGAAAGAAAGGGAAAAAACCCAAATTGCTAACAGCGTATCATTTGTAGATTTCTCCCAATGTTTTGTCAAGATGACCCATTACTATGCCATTACCAAGCCCCTATTGGGTTGGCAACAATATATTATATATCCAAGAGAATAAGTATTCAGTGAAATCACTAAATTCTTTCCACTAAAATTTTAAGTAACTTACTTTTAAATAGAAATTATAAAATAAAAATAAGTATTTGTCCGTTACATATAAGGTATGGGACATGCTGATAAATACTTTATGTTGTTTAAATTTAATATTTACAAGATCAGAAAAGTCTGTAGTTTCCATTTGTCTTCATTTTACAGAGAAGAAACCCAGCACAGAGGAGACAAGTAATTTACTTTGGGTCACCCTGCTACTGAGTCACAGAGCCATGAATCAAACCCAGATCTATGACTTTGAGCCACATACTTATTCCACATGATTCTTCATCTCGTCTACTTTGTTACTACCCTTTGATAACCTGGGTGACTCAATGAATCATATACAAATGAATATCCATCAAGGGAATTTTTGAGCTGTGGATAGAAAACTACAATTATATCAATAATCTGAGTTGAGAAAGTTGTGAAATACTAAGAGGAAACCAGAGGGTGTTGGTTTTTCTTTGCTTCATTCATTTTTGGGGTCAACTCTTTCTTGGTATATTGATGAGATGACACATATTAAATCTTTAGGACTTGATCTGTACATTGTAACATGGCAACATACAGCGTCAATATTATTTTATAATAAATTAAAATGAACTGAACCTTAGATATGCATATTGCACTCCTGGGTTACATACAAAGGTAAATAAGAAAATATATCCACAAAAAACCTTATACACCAAAAAATGGAAAACATCAAAATGTCCTTTGACTGATAAAAGGATAAATAAAATATAGTATATCCATACAATAGAATATTATACATACATCAATAAAAGTGAAGTACCGATTCACACTTCAAAATGAATGAAACTCAGATACTTTATACTAAGAGAAAGAATCTAGTCACAAAGGCCATGCATTGTATAATTCAGTAAATATGAGATTTCTATAATGGGCAAAACTATACAAATGGAAAATAAATTAGTGTTTCCTAGAGTTGGGAACAGGAATGAAGGTAATAGAAAATAGACAGTTACTCCTCATGAGTATGAAGTTCTATATTTTAATTTTTAGGGAAACAAAATTTAAAATGTAGGGATGGTTGAACAATTGTGTGAATATTATTTTTAAAGCATTTTACTGTACACTTTAACAGTGAATTATATATTATGTGACAAATATCTCAATAAATCCATTTTTAAAAATATGCAGAAGGGATATATGATCAACCTAGGTCAAATAACTTAAAACACAAAGATATTCCTTTAAAAAGTCAAAACCAAAATGAAACAAATGAGACTATATGTGAAGGTAGTGACTTAGTCACACAGACAGGAAATCTTTCTGGTAATTTGAACTCAGAAATTTAAATGTACTCCTATGTGATATATCTTTAAAACAAAAAGAGAAAATTTAAAACATACTTAGTATTTATATACATGTTGCTATTTTATAATTAATGTGCATTTGTACTAGTTCTTATATAATTCATTAACTTATTCACTAAATTCATACATAATATATAAATATTTAGGAATTATTTCCAAGTAAAAGAGGTACAAATATTGACAGCAAGTAAATTAACAAATCTATGATCTTAAATTTGAATTTCTTATCCAGTATAAATTCATGGTGTATTTTACTTTTTAAAAAATAGGTTCTAGATTTATCTGCTCAGAAATCCCTGGAAGCAATTTCAATACAGTGGCAATTAAACTAAGCTTTCTAGATATCCTTTCTTCTAAAAGGATATGCCTTTCTGCTCTATGTTTCTGCCTTGTCACAAATCTAGAAGAAATGAAGCCAGCTGATCATGAACAGGAACCTCTTAAATTTTTGAATCAAGATAAATCTTTCCTCCTTTAAATTGTATTCTCCGATATTCTGTGACAAGAAGAGAAAGCTGGCACAATTGCTGAGCACCAAATTATTATTCTGAAAACCAGAAAAGAAAAGGAAAGAAATTCAGATATTTATTAATCTTTTGTTATACAAACTGTGTAATCAAATAGTCAAGCAAAAATTCTTCATATAAGAAATCCAGCTAATAAACAGAAAGACAAATTTGGAAAATAATTAGTTTGCAGCACCTAATGAAAGTAAGAGTTTTGACTACTAAGATAACTAAGAGACATTCCTGGGGAATTTCATTCTGGAGAGATAGGCTGACAGCATCTAAACCCAGTGATAAATTTTAATCAGAAAAGAGACAGACTGGCATTTTGTGCCTCTGGTTGTTTTGTGGTCAGAAATATACAGTTCCTCCTATGATGAATTCAGGCCAAGAAAATTAAATTTGAGTTCAATTAGGAGTCAATTATTCTTTAGGGAATATAAAGGATGGAGGAACTTGCTAAGAAAGGGTTCCATGAGCCAAGTTCAGAGTGAGAAAAATTCAAATGAACCAATTTCTTTATCAAATAAATAGCAAGCAATAGAGGGTAAATTTTTTTAAAATTGTTCTGAAAATATCTGTGACATTTTTCACTTAATGTAATTTGTAAATCTTGTTTTGATTCTGATTATGAAAATTATAGGAAACCAGAGTGGTCAAAAAGGGAACTATTTCCTGAATTACTGTCTATCTGTCACAGTATTTGGTTATAGAGAAGTTGTCAGTTTCCTAAGAATATTTTATATGATTATCAATTGACAGAGACGTTAGAATAGTCAACTTCTGTGATTCCTTCTTGCAGTTCATTTGAAATTTAATCAAACTACTCAATAGAAAATGTACCCCAGTATGGTGGATTTTTGTATCCAAAGATATTCATAACTTTATCTTCTCTTCTACATGCTCTTTTGCAAGGAGATTTTGACACACGCCCATCAAGAAGTAAAATTTTTGTGGCTTGCATTGTTTGAATTTTATCTCTGTGACTATCTTTGACAGAGAATGTGGCCAAAGTGATTCTGAATGACTTCTGATAATGAGTATTATGAGAGTTTTTGTTTCTCATTCAGTAGAACCTGAACCCCGTGTAAAGAGATCCAGTCACTCTGTGAAGAGAGAAGAAGCATGAAAGTCCTGCCAGGCACCCAACTCTCAGTTTTTCCAGCTGAGCTGCCAGATATGTCAGCGAAGCTCCCTTAAACGTTTAAGCCCTGGCTGTATTTCTGCTACATTTCAGCCCATGTCCAACTGACTCATCAGCTGAATTGGTCCAACCACAGGAAGGACCATAGCTGATACCACATGGTTAAGAAGAACCAATCAGATGAACCCGATATTAATTCCTGAAGAAATACAGTGGTCATTGCTTTAAGTCACTAATCTCAGACTGTTTTCCATTTAGCAATCAATAATCTTAACGTACACAATATTAAAATAAGCTGTGCTCTTAGCTTCTAAAGTCTTCATATGTAAGCCTGACTTAAAAAACACAAAATTGCCCCCCCTAAAAAGAAAGAAATTAAAACCCCAAGAGACACAGAATATATGTGAAAGAAGAGTTTGTTTCCTGATTCTACTCCTGCAGACACATGAAAAGAGAAAGAAGCATAACGCTGAATCTGTTTGAGTGAATGGGTGTTCTCTGTTTTAGTCTTAATGCACAGTAATGCATAGTCGAGAGAAGAGAGATATGAGTATGAAATTGGTGGGACATCAGTACGGCATTACTATTCCTTTCCTTCTCTTGTATTTTTTTCAAAGAGAGAAATATATAGATATTAAATAATAGGATTAAATATAAAGAAGATGCTAAAAGTAGGTGTTGATAAAAAAAAATATATATATTATATATATATATATAGTATATATAGTTCCAAGGAGCTGGGAAATGACGACCATGTGTACTTTCATTTCCTGTAGTCTCAGCTTTATTACCCTAATGAAGTATCACACAGTCCCCTGCCATGGTGGCCATCATCATCATCATCACCATCATCATCATCATCATCGTCGTCCTCGTCGTCATCACTGTCAGAATCATCATAGCCCTTTGGGGAAGAAGGACCAAATGGGAAGGCATGAACCTAAGGGAGAGGATAAGTTACAGAGAAAGGGACGCAGCAAAGCAAGAGGAAATGGAATGAGACTGAGAGCGGTAAGGGGGGCAAGGATCATAAAATAATATAAAAGCACATAAATTGCAAAGCAATTTGTTGTTTATAAAGAATTTTAATGTATGTTATCTAACCTAATCTTTATAACTCTTACTAATGATATCTTATATTCATGATATGGATGAGACTAAAATAATACAACTTGATTATTTTTATTAACATTTACTGAATGCCCATTTTGTGCCAGTCACTATGCTAACTGCTAGAAATATTGATAGTGAACCAAACATGATATCTGCCCTATGACAGACAGTCACAAAACCTGTAAAACTATGACAAATTTTAAAATACTGATACTATAAAACAGAATAAAAGGACTTGATCTTGTTAGATTATTCTGATTATAGTTTTTTTTTGACACATTGGAAGGTTACCTTGAATCTGTTTTATGACCATATTACATATAATTGTACATTAAGGAATCAAAAACTATTTTGAAGCTATTCTTATATTTTTAAATTAAGTTTTCCAAGGTAAAAATTAAAAAGCTTGCTAATTTTTATGCACAGGGCCACTTTCCCTTATAGGGCACTACTTATTGGATGAAGCTTCTATACACTGCAGCTTTTTGACAAGATCTGGCTAACAAGGTCACCTGGGTGGCAGGGGGAACACACTTGAGACAGGAAAATTTTACTACTACCTTTTCCATCCTTGAACGTGTCACTCACTGTCTGGCAGTCAAGAAATAATTAAACTCTTTTCTTCTAGTCCCTCAGATTTCCCTTCTTTTGTTCTCCTCAGACTAAAAGTCAGCTTGCTGCACTGCCAGATAGAAGGACTATGACCAGACAATACTTGCAATCACAACTCCTCCAGAGATAAAGCACGCGTTGTAACAACTGAACAACCAGTAGTCCTTCTATGCTAAGGACATAAAACCTAAAAGATTACTGTCTTCTCAAATTATCCCTAATAGTTTCAGGTTGTTAATTCATTAGTCCTTAGAACCCATGGCCAAGACTGATCAGAATAAACAGAAACTAAAATAGAAAAAGTTGAATTGAAGTATTTTGGTTTCCTCAAATGAGCAGGAGCTAATGTTAGGCAAGCACCACTTGCTCTATTAGATGCCTTACAAAGGGCTTCTAAGTGGAATGACCAGTGGTTTTTTTTTTAACCTCCTAGAATTGTGGATTTTTACATTAAGGGATAACTAAACTATGTGATTTTTTTCCCTCCACCTTCTCTATTTTATCTGGGAATCTTCACACTTAAGTTTTTCTTTTCAAGCTTTTGTTATTATCCAAAACTTGGAGTTTGAACATTTTATTACAATTTCTTTCTTGTACATTATTTTGGTAAGTGTTCTCCCCATAATGATATTTGGCCTCAAGTTTTGGGTTTTTTTGTTTTTTTGTTTTTTATTTTTTGTTTTGTTTTGTTTTGTTTTGTTTTTTTGAGACAGGGTCTCACTATGTAGTTGAGACTGACCTGCAACTCACTAAGTAGCCCAAGCTGGTCTCTAACTCACAGCAATCCTCCTACCTCAGCCTCCCAAGTGCTGGGATTACAGGCATGCACCACCATGCCCAGCTTGGACTCAAGTTTTAATACTACTATATTTTCACTTCACCCTGCATTGTTTGTCTTTTCATATCCTTCTGATTTGCCTCATAAATTCTTAGATATCTTGTTACTGATCTTTTCATTTAAATCCATTGTAGTTAGAAAACATACTTCATATTCTTTCCATGCCACGTATAGTTGAAAATAATATGTGTTTTGGCATTGGGTTATTTTAGTACAGGTAATTGATAGGACTGCTCAGATCGTTTTTATTGAATTGTGCCTAGATCTTCTATGAAATGCTGGGGGATGAAAGGGTATTGATAACTCTATGACAATGAAATCATCTATGCCTCTCTTTCTGTTAATTTTTGTTTAATATATTTTAAATATCACATGTGTAATTGTTATTTCTTCTTTATGAATGGAACTTTTATCATTATGAAATATTTTTTGGCTGACTGTATTTTGTCTTATTTTATCTGACATTAATATTGAGTCCTCCCCTTTCATTTTCATATGCTTTTTTCCATCCATTTATTTTCAACCTATATGTGATTTTATTTTATGTACATTATTTAATACATTTTATTAGTATATATTTGTGATACATAATAATTACACTTTAGGGAATTAGTACATATATATCTTGTTTCTCTATCACTTTTATTCACTTTCTTCCCCACCATCTCTGCCCCTTTTTCTAGTGCTCCTTTCTCATCACCAAAAAGTCTGCCTCCTTTTTTTTCTACCATATCTCCTTTATTTTGTTTAATAAATTATTTATAGTTTGGGTTTCTCATATAAGAAAACCATGCAACATTTAACCTCTTGTGTCTGATTTAAAATATTATGGTCTCAGGATCCATTCGTTTTTCCATGAATGACTCAAATTTGTTCTGCTTTATGTCATATGTAATACATACATATATATATATATATATATAATTTTTGTTCATTTTTCTATTAACAAGTATTTAGGCTGTTCCTATAATTTAGCTTTTGTGAATTCCTAATTGTTTTAGGGAATGCTTTCACTTGTTTTTTCCTATTTAATGATTAGTTTATCATAAATGCCTTAAAGTAAGGTCTTTCTATATATTTTTTCATCAGGGTTTTATCATGAATTGGTGTTGGATTTGCCAATGGCTTTTTCTGCATCTATTAAGATGATCACGTATTTTTTATCCTTACTTATGTTTATGTGCTGTACTACATTTACTGCCTTATATACATTGTACCATCCTTGCATCTCTGGGATAAAGTCTACTTGCAAACAATATTGCAAGTAATTTATTGTGAATTTTTGCATCTTTGTTCATTGGAAGTATTCACCTGTAGTTTTCTTTCTTGTGTGTGTGTGTGTGTGTGTGTGTGTGTGTGACAGGGTCTCGCTATGTAGCTGAGACTGACCTGGAACTCACTATGTAGCCCAGGCTGGTCTCAAACTCACAGTGATCCTCCTGCCTCAGCCTCCCGAGTGCTGGGATTACAGGCATGTGCCACCATGCCTGGCTTGACCTGTTGTTTTCTATCTTTCCGTCTCCTCTCCTCTCCTCTCCTCTCCTCTCCTCTCCT